AACCAAGCAGTAAACTGCCACACACTAATAGAATCCCAACAGAATAGAAAAGAAAAATACTTTATTTATCCCAGTCTGGGAAATTACTGTGGTACAGCAGCAGCAAGAAAAAACACCAATCACAACAGAAAAAGGGCTAAAGTTAAATACTATTTTAAAAATAAGTGAATAAAATAACTGTACAAAGAACTCACTAGAACCAGATAGGTGCACACAAATGCTCGACACAGATAGGGTTCAGGCAAAAAGGCAGGTTTATTACCGGTCAGGGTTCGGTACCTAGAGGGTCAGTCAACACAGGTAGAGGTATCCAAAAAACAAGAGGCAAGGTCAAAAACAGAAGCAAGGTCGTAACAAAACAGACCATGACTACGGCTGTGAAGAACGCTGGTACAAGGACTGTGAAGTGCAACAAACTGGCACGGAGACTGTGAGACACACAAGAGCTGTGTCCGAAATCACTCCCTATGCCCTATATAGTGCACTATATAGGGTTCACGGCATTTTGTAGTGTTGTTCGAATTGTCAGCGGTAAATTTCATCCACTATATAGTGCACTCAAAATATCCCACAATGCACCGTAAAAAGTAGTGTACAGCCGATGGTCACTAACCGAGCAATATGGACCGTCATGCATTGCGCGAAAGGAAATGGAGATGAACGAGAGCGCGGAAAAATTCCCGTTTGTTTTGTTAAATTTTATTTTACCTGTACAGTGAACGTCGCTAAAATTGCGGCGCTCGGTTGTGATTTGGACATACAACACCACTTTATTTAAATTGCTTTTAGTTACTGGATCCTGAAGAAACGTTCTCTCATCTGGTATGTACAGCAAAATGACAATAAACTTGATTTAATTTCATTTCTTAGCTACGCAATAAACTGTTAATTTGATGTGTTTGTACAACGCTGTTGCAGTACAAATCGCGGCTAGCGAGCGACGTAATTAATAGCTCGAGTAGTGTCCGAAATGATACTTTGCTGAGGTACTCACTATATAGTACACTACATAGTGCACTATATAGTGATCGCTATATAGGGAGTAGGGAGTGAGTGGGTGATTTCGGACACAGCCATGGTAATGTACACGAGGTAATGAGGGGAGATAGGAAACAGGTGAGGGAAAGCAATCAGGGAGAAGGTGTGAGGAGACAAGTGTGGGAAATAAGTCTAGGACAGAGACAACTGGTTATTGACTTCAAAATAAAACAGGAAAGACACGACATAACGTGCACACATAAAACAGCAACTTGACATACATGACACTTTCATTACTGAGATGGAAATCTTGAGCTTTTTCAGTACTTCATATGTCCACTTTTATTGTTGAAGGATTGCCTTTCTCTTTAAAATACCCCAGAGGTGTCCTATTGGATTCAAGCTGGGCAACCAGCTTGTAGTTTTCCTTTTTTTCTTGTTTAGAAACTTTTGTGTGATTTTTTTGCAGTGTGCTTTGGATCATACTCATGCTGGAATATTCCTTTTCTGCCAATCTTCTGCAAAGCCTGCTAGCTCGGAAATGAGCTAAGACAGCAGGTCTCACAGGCGATTCCTTTACATCGGGATCCAAACGTAGATATCCTTCGGCGCTTAAGAAGCTGACGCTGGAGGCTCGATAAGGTAGATTGGTTTCCTACCAGCAATAGTCAGTTTGTATCTGACTATCAGCAGTTAGCACGTTAGTACGACCAGCTAACTAGCCTAAACAGGGCAGACTGCAAGCCGAGTTCGTGCAGCTTCTCAGGAGAGCTTTTTGAGAAGCAGGAGAGACACAGTGATCTTGGCTGGGAGTAGTGACTTCTCACTCTGTAGACACTCAGTTTTTAAGGGTTAAATTGCCGTTTTTAAAAGTTAAATTAAGTTGCAGGAGAGCAGCGCCAGCGTGCAACCACCCGCATCAGTGATCACTATATAGGGAGTAGAGAGTAGGGAGTGAGTGGGTGATTTCGGACACAGCCAGGGAGTAGCTTAAGCTAGGTTAGCACAACTTTAGCAATGCAACTTAAATGAAAAGCATGACCCACTCAACAAAGCATGCCTCACTCGTCATGACACATGGCAAAGAGAGTTAAAGTGAAACAGGAGACATGTAGAGTCCTTAATTTGACAACGTGGTTATGAACTTAGCTGTCTGTAGCTCTGCTCAGCCCACTCCTGTAATGTTGCCTGGCTGTAGCTTACTCCTGGGGTCCATTTCACAAAGCAGGTTTAGTGAAAACACCGAATCTGTTAACCCTGAGGGTTGGTGAAAGCTCTGAGTTTTTACTAAACCTGCTTTGTGAAACGGACCCCTGTACAACTTAGAAAACAGTGGCGAGGACTGAATGGAGTCAGAGCTCCATCTAGTGGACAGATGCCGCAATGACAGCATTCTGCGCGACTGTGACACTTAAAAGCATTTACTGTTTAATGAGAAAATAACCAGATGGTAAGCCAGAACATCACCAAAATTTATTAATCTGTACTTTGTGCCATTATCAACATTTCCTGAAAATTTCATGAAAATCGATGAATAACTTTTCGAGTTATCTTGCAAACAAACCAACAAACAGATAAACGCCGGCTAAAACACAAGCTCCTTGGCGGAGGTAATAAAAATTTGTCAGTCTGAATTAATGGATGGAAACATTAGCTCTTAGAACAGAAACTTCTCTAGTCTGTCAGAGCAGACATTGCTCACAAAACGGCATACACAAATCAAACAACATCGTCAATAGGCAGTAACGATTCTTGCTATACTTGATCAAATCAAACCTTACTTTATTTATACAGAACTTTTATTGCATAAAAGCAGCACAAGGTGATTTACAAAGTGCTTAACAAACGGTGTTATGAAGGGTGAAGACTAGTGAACCAACTGTTATTTGGAGAAGAATGGAACTGAAGTACAGTATTTCCAGCTAGTTACCTCTGCTACGTTTCACCGCCAGCTGCGCCTTCATATTCTTCTTCTGCTTACTTTGGCTGTTGAAGAGCAAAGCTGCTTTCTTCTTCGTAGACAGTTGCAGCGCCTCCTACAGTAATCTGGTGGAACTACTCAGAAAACCACGCCGTTCGAAAGCATTGTTTTTATTGTTGTTATTTTTTATATACACAGCGGAAAAATACTGAGGTCTGGACATCGGGTCGTCAATGGTAGCTACGGCCATGTCCACATCCCTACCAGTCAAGTCAGATGTCTGCCCTCCCCATGCCTGGTTTGAAGAGAGATTTAAAGAGTTTTTTTCATTCTCACTGTTGCAGAAGAGGTGCTTGAAGAAAATCATTTGGATTTGTTGGGTTTCTCTCTATACTGTAGTATTGTAAGGTTTTACCGCACTGTGAAGTGGCCTGAGATGACTTCTGTTGTGAATTGGCACTATCTAAATAATAGTATCATAACAATAAACACAAAGGCAAAACACTTACCATATATATGAAATGTTTATAGGCTGAAAATGTGGTTGTGCTGTAGCCTTTCTGTTGAAAAAAAGAATTCACATACATGCTAAATTAAAAGTGCAAATGCAATAAATGCTTTATTCACAAACAATTTTCTCTCTGCTTTGGATTAAGAGACAGTCTAACTGTTGAAATTAATTCCTCATTCATAAAAGCTTGTTCATCCTGAAACACGAGAATACAGATCACGTAGCTAACCATGTTTAACTAACTAAGAAGTCTGTCTCTTGCATCACAACTTAGTCGGACTACAAAACCCAGGAGGAACCGAGAGTCATGATCCCAGTCATCCAGAACCACCCATGTTAGGCTCAGGGAAGACAGGTGGCTCTGGGAGCCGGGGCAAATTGAACTCGCTTTGTGCTACAGACCCCAAGTGTCACTGTTGGTGTCTGGAACAGGACATTAAGCAGAGCTGTATGACAAATCATGAGAGAATAAGACTCACATTCAAAACCACAATTTTCCTTTAAAATCCTTTCTCTGTGATGGTTAACATGTTCCTGCACTTTAAAATAAATAACTACAAAATTCAGTTGCTGTCCTTCCCTCGCTGTATTTTCTTCAGCTGCTCCTGAGCCTGAGACTAAATTAATACATGTCCAGATAATAACAACAGTTAAATAACACACAAGGTTTCCCACATGCTCAGGATATGGAAGATTGCTCAGTTTCCTCCTTTAACTATAGTCACCCTGCCAAGAAGTTCAGTTCTTGAGAAGACAAATGTTAACTTTTGCACAGTAATGATAGTGAAAGGTTTCTGGTATGAAAGCAATTCTGATATCATAATCATGTAGGACAGTTCCATTGTGTGCAGCTCACAACATGTGTAGTCCAGTTAACATTGTCTTTGAGTGTATGACCATCTACCCATGAGCCCACTCTCCAGTCCTTTCTTACCATGCCCAATAAAAGTCTCATGTTTTGCTGTAAACCAGATTTTGAGCTCTTTATGTAAACCTTCTCCACAAAGATCCCTCACGGTGGATGAGTCTTGCAAAGTCAGTCCTTCCACAGAGATCAGTACTTCTATTACTTATTGGTAGATTTCAGCAGTGGCCCCCTGATTCAGAGGAGACAGGCTGCTCCGTAAACCTTTGTGCCTTACACACACACAAACCCACTGTGTTACAGTAGATTCTTTTTTTCCTTCAGCAGTGGATCTCATAGGCGATCTGAGAGTCCATGAACAGGCCTGTGTGATTAAGAAACATCCCTTCAGCCTCTGATGTGATCACAGGCTCTGCCTCCCCTCCTTCCCCCGCAATTCTCCTCATGGTCCGTGTGTCACCGTCCTGTTGTTGCTGCTGCTGTTTGTTGGGGGCCAGAGTGGGACTCATGGTCTGGCCCAGTCCCGAGGAGAGTGTGTGGCTCGAGGTGTCAGACGTTGCAGGGCAACCAAGGTTAGTGGTGGAAACAGCTGTCGGTGGAGCCGGAGGAAGCACAGGCTTGGCCCTGTTGAGGACATACATTTCATGGCCACGCTCGTCACGGTACTCCTCCAGCTGGGCAAAGGTGGTGGGACCATCAGAGTAGTCATTCACATACAGGATGCTCTCCTCCTGCAGATTGAAATTCACCTTCATCACTTTTGGGATACAGGAATATACAATAGAACATTTGAGAGTTTAATACTTTACAACTGTTCTGTTGTGCGCATATTTCAGTGTAATCAGAATAAACACTGAAAAAAACTTTTCAGTTTGTTTGTTTGTTTAGGGACCCTTCATGTATTATTTCTGTTTGATGACTATTGTGTTTTCTGTCAGGCAGACATATTCTGCAGTGCAGTGGGGTATACTTCTGCCATTTTCCTGTACTGTATTCACTGTTCTTGTGACACAGTGGGGTGCAGCATAGTGTTGTCTGTCTGTAGGTCCCTGACCTTCACTTTGTTTTGCTGTACTGGGAAATTAAAATAAATGTAAATACAGTTAGTGAAATGATTTTTTTTTTTTAAGTTTAACTTCATGGTTAATTTAGTTTGACAGAACTGAATCAGTTGTATAATATGCAGCTGTGTAATATTTTCAATAAGTGCTGGCAGACTATTTTTCAGGGATAGTGTGCTAGAGTCTATACAGGCTAAACTACGGTATGGTAGAAACATGTAGTTCACACATGCATTCATTCAAAACATTTTTAGTACTCCTGATTTTCAGTTACTGTTTACCATTACGAAACATAGATGGACGGATCTAAAACTGAACATTAACAGACATTAATTAGGCATCAACACACAGAGCTCGAGAGTCAAAAACATACACTACCGGTCAAAAGTTTTAGAACACCCTAATTTTTCCAGTTATTTATTGCAATTCAAGTTGTGCTAGTCCAATGAATAGCTTGGAATAGTACAAAGGTAAGGACTGGACAACCAGAGGTTAAAAAAAATAGGTTTGGTTACAAAAAAACAAAAAATAATGTTTTTTCAGAATTATACAAAAAGGCCTTTTTCAGGAAACACAAAGTGGGTTAACAATTTAAAGCTGTTCTGCAGCAGTGAAGGTTGAAACAGCCTTGAAAGCTGGTGCTACTAATTCCTACAGGTG